CTCTCTCTCTCTCTCTCTCTCTCTCTCTCTCTCTCTCTCTCTCTCTCTCTCAGCGACAGCATTAGCCAACAAATCGTCATCAAATATAGATGAGTGCGTAATAAATCGTGACAAGGCGTTCTAGCATTTGCTTTCCTATTATTGCTCAGTGGTTGCTATAGTAGCTTTACGTAATGATGATGATGATGATGATGATGATGATGATGATGATGATGATGATGATGATGATGATGATGATGATGATGATGATGATAATAATGGTGATGATGATGGGATTTTAAAAGACTTGTAAAAGTGATATACTTAAAAGACTGCATCTAGCCGTTGTCGGGTCAACGCAAAGAATAAAGTTAGGTTTCGGTAGTAGACTCGTTGACTACCAACTGGATTGTCCGACTGGTCCGGTGGTAGATGGCCAGGTAGAACATTAGCCTCGAAGTATCGCAGTAGACCGCCAAGTGGACTGGCACCCAAAATATATAATATCAATGTAAATGCTTGGCATGTCACAAACATACGTCAACAATCAATAACAACGTATGGTAGGCTGAGAGAGAACACATCAAATCGAAGAGCGATCGACTACCCTGTGTGTCCCATGAAGGCAACTAGCCTAATAGAAATAATTATTGTACAGCTAATTTGAAATGTTTTATTTTTGTCAGGGCTCCCTGTGCCCACGTTCGGTGCACTGGCAAGGCCAGATTAGAGACAACAACCACATTAAAACAAAAACTCTCTCTCTCTCCTTCTCTCTCTCTCTCTCTCTCTCTCTCTCTCTCTCTCTGTATGTCAAACACACACACACACACACACACACACACATACACACACAGACACACACGCACGCGCGCGCGCGCGCGCACACATATACACAAACACAAACGGACACACACAAACATACAGGAAAACACATACACTCACAAAGTGACAACTCAACTCTTTATGACTTCCTCCAACTTCCCTGATATGAAATGACATTAATTTCTCACTGATTCTTTCTAAATCCTTTCTACGTAAGTAAACCAGGAAAAGATCGCACGTATTAGCGGTGTCATTCAACCAGGTGTTATGTTCTACCCCCTACCAGGCACTCGGGGTACGCGTGATCTAGCACAATACTGAAACATGAGCTGCCCTTATTTGCCTTTTGAAGAAAGAGGGGCGGGTGGGACTTGTGGGTTGTGTGTGAGTGTTGTGTGTGTGTGTGTGTTGTGTATGTGTTTTTGTTTTTGTGTGTTTGTTTGTGTGTGTATGTTTATGTGTGTTTGTGTGTGAGTGTGTATGCGCTGGCGCGCGTGCACGTGCGTGTGTGTGTGTGTATGTGTGTGTGTGTGTGTGTGTGTGTGTATGTGTGTGTGTATGTGTGTGTTGTGTGTATGTTAATTTAATGCATGTGCGTTCGAGTGTGG